TGGAGTACTTTAATGATGTCTTTCCTACCGTTCTGGACCTTGAATGTGTAAGCTGCATGGCTGACTGTAGAGGGACAGAAAGCTCTCGGATTCATCAAAAATATCTTCATTTATGTTCCGAAGATGAACGAAGGTCTTACAGGAGTGGAACGGCATGAGGGTGAGTAATTAATGACATCATTTTAATTTTGGGGTGAACTAACCCTTTAAAGGTCCCCTGAAATGCTTAGAAACCCGCAGTGTTACTCTATGTTAGGGATCCTCAAATCTGGCCCACGAGATCCACTTTCCTGCAGAGTTTAGCTCTAACCCTAATCAAACACACCTGAGCATGCTAATCAATGTCTTCAGGATCATTAGAAAATCACAGGTAGGTGAGTTTGATCAGGGTTGGAGCTAAACTCTGCAGCACATTGGCCCTCCAGGGCAAGATTGGAGGAACCCTGCTCTATGTGTTGACGTCATTTTAACTGAAACAGGAAGACCGGGCGGGACATATCAAGCAGCCCCGCCCCTTTTTAAAATAGCCAATAGCATTCGTTTATATCACAGCTTGGGCTAGAGCCGTTGAGCTCCATAAAGCCTCATTTGACAGAGTATGCCAGCCACAATCTCATCCATATTGCTATAAAATTTAGCATTCTGTGTAGAATTTTGTGGTCTGCACCGATTTGCGCATGTGATCCGCTCCATGCTATCGTGTCTCTGGACCGGAGCAGAGTGTGTGTGCGGTGTGGTGGTTAGCGTGACAGCACGAAACCAGACTTCTTTTTTTCCTCAATGGAAAGCATATTTATACTGTTTGAATCGTTCCCTGTCCCCTATATAGTGCACTACGTGCCATTCACTGTACAGAAAATACTAATTCTGTGGACAAGGGACCGCTTTCAGCCGCGGCTTCAGCGTCTATTTTATAGTGTAGGGGCTTCGGATTCTAGAGAGCATTTGATTGGACAGAAAGTTTGATGAGAAGCTGAAGTACGATGTGACGGCAAAAAAATCGTTGAGCCATTTTGGAGGAAGTGACGAACTGCAAGCTTTGAATGCTTATATCTTCTAAATGCGAATCTTGTCAATGTTTTGGAGCACACTGCCTTATAAGACTAACATATTGATACTAACACCCAAAAAACTTTAATTTTGATTTCATGGAGACTCCGCCTATGGATCCAACAGGATGTCATATGATTCACTTGCATCTAGCCAAAAACTATGATAGGCTATAGCTGGCAGTACTATTAACACAGGTGAAGAAAGGTATTGTATTTGAGAATAAAATAACCTACTTGATAAAGTATTTTAAGTATTTCAATTCTGTGTCTAAGTGTATTTAATTACAAATTACATTAGATTTTTTTATTTTATTATTTATGTCCAGCAAAATACAAATTTCAAAATACATTAAATACATTTAAAATACTTTATCTCTGCTTACATGGAGCACAAAACAAAAGGAAATGTAAGGCTAAAAATACAACCTCAGTCACCATTTCTTTTTTCCATTGTATGGAAAAAAGATGCAATGAAGGTGAAAGGTGAGGCTGTCGTTCTGCAATCTGGGTTCTTTTATAAAGAGTTCTTCTTATGGAAATAATATACTTTAAATAAATATACTTCAGTATGATGTTACAGACACTTAATTGCAAGTTAATTTCAATCAAATGAAAATGCATTATAGTTTAAATGTATAATAAATGCAATCAGCTGAACTTGAGAGTGCTTTTTGACCCACTTATGTAGGACTTAGGTACAACTTTAGATGTAATTTGATCCTGTAATTCTGTCTATTGTCTTTGAACAAAGTGCATTGTTGGATGTACTGACCAAGCAATTATGGTCAAATAAAATACTTGTGTGTCATGCATTTAAATGTATTTGTAATTACACTTAATATTGTAATGAAGTTGCAATTTTAACAATTAAAATATATCAACTAATATCAAATAGCACATATTACAGTTCAGATTATAATCAAGTGCTTTACATGTGCTTTAGTATGTTAACACATCAAAATAAGTGTACTTATTTAAAGCACAATAAAAGATTATTAAAACATTATTCAAAAATGTACTTTAAAGCACAACTTGACATTAGACAAAATTGACATTATTACCAAGTACGTTTTAAATGTGTACTTAAGACACATGAAAGTGTACTCTCTTTAAGTACTCTTAAGTGGCCTTTTATTAAGTAGTTATACTTTTAACATTTAAACACTACAAGAGCACATTCATCAGTACAGTTAAACTTCTTTTTCACAAGGGATCCCTTTGACTACCATGTAGTATGTTATACTGTAACCTAGCACACGTTAATGTCTCTCTTCTCTGTGAATAGCAGATTACAACAGCAGTGATCAGAAGACCGCCTGCAGAAAGCATGAACTGTACGTCAGCTTCAGAGAACTGGGCTGGCAGGTAAAGATGAAGGATATGTACATGCTCAATTTTACAAATCTCAAACTGGAGCAGCCTTCAGTGGAAAACAAACGATTAATTATCCTGAACGAGTGTTGAATGTGAGCAGCCTTTTTGATTTAAATATGTGTGTTTGTCAGGACTGGATTATTGCACCTGAGGGTTATGCAGCAAACTACTGTGATGGAGAATGCTCATTTCCCCTAAACGCTCATATGAATGCTACTAATCATGCTATAGTACAGACACTGGTGAGTCATGATTAATAAAATAAACACCAGACCTAAGAGAACAAGTATTTTTAAAGTTTGTTTGTGAGTGTAAAATATATCTTGCTCCACTTTTCAGGTCCATCTAATGAATCCAGAGAACGTTCCGAAGCCATGCTGCGCTCCCACCAAACTGCATGCAATCTCCGTGCTCTACTATGATGACAACTCCAACGTCATTCTGAAAAAATACAAGAACATGGTGGTGCGCACATGCGGCTGCCACTGACACAAGGGACACGTGCCGTCCTACCCAACTGCTGCACCGCAGAGACAGAGACAACTGTTTATGAGGACTGACAAAACTAAATAAGACAGACAAAAAGCAAGCATTATGAACAAATGTGAGAGAATGTCTTGACGGTGGATCCAGGTTTGCTGCTTCTCATCTTTCCACACATGGCCATTTGACGTGACATTTCGGATCCTACAAACTGCCAAGAGGATGTTCATGTGAATCTATAAACAGAAAATGAACTTGATGCCTTAAGTCTAAATCAAAGACACAAAGAAAATGTAAATTGTGAGCTAAAATGCTGTATTTAAAAATGTGTCACTTACCAAATATTTAAAGGGGGTCGCATCACGTTATGATTTTCTTTTCTGATGTTCACTTGTGTTACAAAACAGTCAAAACAATTCTTCGTGACTATTTTCCACCCTCACTCTGACCCTTGGAATTAAATGGGATACTTTTTGCTGCTGTGCCTTTAGTACTAGACTTTGTATCTTTCTGATGTTTGAAATTTCTAGAAGTTCAGAACAAATAATTTTTTTTTGCAACTTTCAGGAACTTCCTCCCTAATATAAATAAGACGATTTGAGTTCTGAAAGTTACAGTAGCTCTTTTATTTCAAAAGAAACTTTGATTCCTCATGATATGACCCCTTTAAGATTTAAAACTTATGAATTACTTTGTCCCAAAGCACAGAAATCACAACAGGATATTTTTTTTACTGCTTTCTGTATTTTTGATGAAGTCACTTAAACCCATAGGACTCTATTTTGGGTCTCAAAAACTCAAATTATTTTAAGTTTCTCAATATTTGCTCTGCACTACCTGTGGTTTGCATCAGTGAGTCAGAGCGAGTGGTTACACACTTCAACAGAACTCAAAGAATGGAACCATTATACTGCCGTTCCAAGGATGGAACTGTTATTTGATGCCGTCTGACACCGCAGATCTATAATTTCCCTGCAAAACCTGCACCTTGAATGGCTTATGTCCAAAACTTCCCATAAGACACGAGGACCTACAAATAATTTGTTTTTCAGCAACATAATTATATACTCACATGGGCTGTAGATTTTGCACCAGCTCATGTCTATTTACTGTCAAACTTTTAATATGCAGTTGTCCATTTATTTATTTTTTTTCCCACTGTGAGCCGCTTAATGGTACGAAACTCTCTCTTGGGTCAAATATGGACTAACCCAACTGTTGGGTTAAATTTTGGTTACATTTTTAAATGAGCTTTTTAACCCAACAGTTGGGTTAGTCCATATTTGACCCAACATTGGGTTGAAACAACCCAGCATTTTTTTTTGTGTATATATATATATATATAGAGAGAGAGAGAGAGATGTCTATTTTCATAATTATAGCAACATCTTTTGTTTTTCCCTGGTTTGTAATTTGGGAATCGATACTCGCTTTCATTTTTTAATACAAATACTGAACCAAATAATTTGGTTACATTTATAGTTTTGGAACATCATTATTCTTCCACTGATGTGAATTTGTGTATATATATATATATAGAGAGAGAGAGATGTCTATTTTCATAATTATAGCAACATCTTTTTAATACAAATACTGAACCAAATAATTTGGTTACATTTATAGTTTTGGAACATCATTATTCTTCCACTGATGTGAATGGACCGCTTCAGAAAATGTTAATTTTAATGCTGTTTGCACTCCCATTCATCTCACTGACACAGGACCCCAACAGACCAACAGGATCATGCCAACCAGCCAAACCTTGACTACCTGGTTCACACTGACAGGGGTCACATCACTAGTTGGTATTAGGTTGTACTATTGGTTGCTAGTAGGCAATTCTAATCAGCTGTACTCAAATTCCTCCCCAAGAAATGATTCCGAGGGTCCAATTATTGTCAACTTTTTTTACAATTCATATCCTTAATTATATCACATACCTCCCACAAACTGCTGTTTACATGTGTCAACCATTTTTGGATGCTTGTGTGTAAATACTTGTACATTTTACAGTTTATTTATTGTTCATTTTATGACTCATATACCACAGAGATCATATAACAAGAGTAAAGACAAAATTAAAAACTGCTATTTTTGGAAAAAGACTATTTATTATGAAATTTGTCACAATGTGCCTTTTTTGTACAAAAACCCCCACGCAGTGAGTGTACCCCTCTCACACAGGACAGAAACCCTGCGTATTTCACTGAGGTCAGCCTTGATCATGTGCCTCTCATAAAGACTCCACTGAATATATGCGGTTTCTCTGATTGCTTTTCCCTTCCTTCTCTTTCAGATCCAGTAAAAGAAAAAAAAATAAACACATCGCTGTGGGAATATTTGAAAGGAAATATGTAAATTACATTAGTTTAAATCAATGAAGCCAGTGGAGAGCATCAAAGACGACATACAACTCTATCAGTGTTCTTCATGAAATGATAACGGGCCACGCTAGTGTTTTAAGCAGTTCACTAATAACATTGAAAGTGGTTGACTGCATGTGAAAGCATCACGGAGGGGAAAAAAAGTTTCTAACAGTCTAAAAAGACAAATCTAGTCAAAGGAAAAATGACGGCAAAAAATAAAAACAAAAAAGCTACATCTGCAGAATAAACAATAAGGAAAAAATACTGTACCATAACTCCTTTAACGTTTCACAACCTCTAATGTACTTCAAAGTAAACCGTATTTCCATAAACTGTCACTATACAGCAAATATGATCGATTTTGCATTTTTACCTTGCTGAGTACTGAGAAATTTAATTTTCAATTTAATAAAAAAAAAGTATTATATAACGGCATTAGGGATCTGATATGGCTCTGCTCCATTCATATGCCTATAAGAACACCAAGAAGCTTTAGAAGACAAATTAACCAAAAGTATTTAAACAAATGTCATCCTTACTGAAGAAATCTGGTCAAACCAGCCTAATGTGGTTTGCTGGCCATTAAGCTGGTTAAGACTGGCCTGGTTTGATACTTATGGCACACCATCTGAACCTTGGCTGGTTTAAGCAGGTCTCCCAGTTTGACTAACAAACTACCTTAGACTGGTTGATTTTTTTTTTTATCCTCTGAACAATACAACCTATTCAAAACCTGAAGACCACAAAAGAAACATTTGAAACCCCAATAGAAAGACCACGTATGTGGTCAAAGTGCTGTTTGCAAGTGTGTATCATATAGTATGTTATACTGAATGGAGTAAAAGGGAAATCACAGCAGGTACATGGCATTGTTTTCTTAAATGCTACATGGTCTCCCTGAGGTCATATTTTCTTATTGGATAGCAAACTAAGCTGAATTCCCTCAAATATAACTGACATTTACGAAATATGCACCTTAAATGATGTAATGATCTTAATGGAAGTGTCATTTTCTTTACATCATACAGCTGTTCTTTTAAGGGAGAAAGGGCAAAATCAAAAGTCTGTGGTTGTAATTGCTAATAATCTCATCAACTGGTCGAGATGAAATGTACATTCACATATTATCATGTGGAAGAGATGGTCCTCACTTCAGCAGGTGAGGGACAGAAATGAAGAAAAAGCAGTCGCAGTCTTTGTCAGTATGGTAAATGTAGGTAGTGTTGCTTTGTGGAGGATGTGTTGTGAGATGGAAAATAAGGGAGGAGTTACAGCTCATCTCTCGCTTGTTTCATTACAAAACTGTGCAAACTCTCTAAGTCCCGCCCACCATTATGCTCCTCCCCCTGTTGCCCTGCCCGGAACATCAGGAGAGTTGGGTATCCACGCACCTATAAAAAAAACAATGATCAAATATTTACATACATTTTGACTGTGTGTAGTAATTAAACATGAAGCCAAGCCAAAACTGCATCCAGTCTGAGTAGCTACTAGGGCTGGGCGATTTTTTTCAATTTTATCGATTAATTCTAATTTAATGTTTTGCCACGATTTAAAAAAAAAACAAAAACATTGGAACATTACAGGGTAACCGAATAAAAAAACCTGTAAAGAACTACTGCTGTATGTATGATATTTCATGTTTGCATCATGAGGACAGGCTGAAAGCTGCTGTTCAGTGTTTTTACAAATCATTTATTGTTAGTCTACTGGTGTTATACTTTTTAGTCGACTACTTAAAAATCGAGAATCGGTCAAATGTTCTGAAAAAAATCGTGATTTTATTTTTTTTGCCACATCGCCCAGCCCTAGTAGCTAATACATTTCCTTTGGAATAAACTTTGTGAAAGGAAAAAAATTATGTTGTTTATAGCATGAATGCAAGTTGTCTAAACAAAATCTGGATGTACTATATCCACTATGTTGGCTTTGCCATGTGACCTTCTGATTTTCATCGTTTCACTGCCATTCACAACTCCGGGATAGTAATGTGTGTAAAAAAATACACAAAATGTCAATGGAAGTAGTAGGTCACACCATATGTAGAGCGCTCCAAATAATTCAAGTTATGAGGTTCCGTTTATGTTTGTTTGTATATAAATCGAAGTTATATAAAACTAATAAAAGTAGGCTTCTTGTTGTCTGTATACGCAGTGTATGCAGTAAAAAAAGGACTCTTAGCTAAAAGATTTATCAAAAGTACTAAAACAAAAATCGTTAATGGAAGGATTTGTAACTAGAATCTTTAGACTGAATGGATCTGTATAGAAACAAGTTACATTTCCTATTCATAGTAGACAGCAAGGCAGCACACTAGTTTATTGGAACAGGCTAAAGAATGTCCTCACTTAAAAAAAAACAAAAAAAACAACTCTCTGCCACTAATAATATGAAGTTATGTTGACCCCATCCCTCAAACATCCACAATCCACAAGACTTAGTTACTCTTCCTGCCACCCATCAGTGGATTTCCAGACTAAATGAGCTGCACTCACAGAGTATCTGTTGCAGAGCGTTCTCTCCACGGTGCAGTCCACTTTAGCAATCTTCACATCAGTCAGACCAGGGAACTCCTCTTTAGATAGATCCTCCCAGGTAGGGGCCAGGTTCTTGCAGTGACCACACCTTAAACACACGAACACACATCGCGTGAGTTGCTGAACAACTCAGGGAATGGCGAGTCTTTTGATCAGCCACTAAAGGAAACATTAAGATGATAAGAGGAACAGATAGGGGAGGGGAGTACACTGTGTGCGTGCACATGGATGTACACACAAACATGCGAGTCGGTCACTGCGCAGGGTTTGGCAATGTAGCTTAAAGGGGTCATTAAATGGAGAATCAAAATGTTTGTGATATTTATTACACATAAGAAGTTACTGCTAGTTTCAAAATAAAAAAACTAACGCCCCAGTTTAAAAATATAAACTATTCTTCTCTACCCTTCTAAAATTCCTGGATTTGAAATCCATCAATTTTTTTAAGTACATATATATATATAAACTGCACATCAGGTTCAATTTGGAAAAAAAAAATTTCATGACCACTTTAACAAAAATGTCTCAATAGTGTTGAGCTTGGACAATATTTGACGTATCTGAACATTTGAATCACCATTTGAAAACGGCAACTGTGCAGTTTTAAAACTCAAAATGTTTAATAAACTAATGTTTAATAATAAATAAATACATACAAACAAATCTAGTTACTTGAAAAAATCTAAATTTACCCGTCAAGAAAAACAATGTATTTTTGAATAAACTGCATTTTGCAACTGCAACACACAACTTAAAGCCAATCAGAATAGAGTACTCAGACAGACTATGGTATAACCAAAAGTACATTCTCTAAAAAAATCAAATAAAAGTCAAGACATTTTGCTTATCAGGAACTTCTTTCATTTATAATATACTTTAAATATTTAAATGGAAAACAAAAACCCTTACCAAGGTTCCTTTTTTTTTTTTTATTTCTTTTTTTTTTAAAGTATTTGAAAGTATTCACTCATCCCTATATATAACAGTTAGATCTGGTCCTCTAATTTTACTTCACAAATGACATACCAAATAAATCAAATTTTTCTGTAACTGCAGTAAATTTGTCACTTTTAGTATCACTCCACTTGATCCTGCTTTGGCTTCATTTAGAACCATTTTTACTGGTGAAAATCAATAATACCTGGCTGTAGTGTTTTTGAAATTTCAATTACACCATGTTCTGGTTCATACTGCAAGCTGCATAAATATATAGTACTAAAAATGGATTTGTGGAAATTAATCACTTCTAAAACTCCATTGCCATATTTGTTAACCGAGTTGAAACCAAAGGCAGCACATCCTGGAAAATACTTAAAGACCTTAGGAGACTTACTGCACAAATTAAAAGTGTATTAAGATCACTAAACTGTTAATGCTGCTTAGGGTTATTATCTAAATCTAAAAACTTATGTTAATTTAAATAAAGCTGCAATAAAAGTATTAGATGAAAAACTAAAATAAAAATAAAAATAACTTAAAACTAAAGAGTAATATATATATATATATATATATATATATATATATATATATATATATATATATATATATATATATATATATA